GCTAGATGAGCACACCCAGGGTGAAACCCCCTCTGCAGAGGCCTGTACAAAGTTTCTGCACCACTTCAATCCTGTAAGGGTTCGGAGCGGTGCAGAGGTGATTGTCACCCTGGGAGCATAGTGTCACCCAAGCAGCAGTCATGTGGCCATAGGGCAGATGAGGTCCATTCCCCATGGCCACTGGCTGACTCACTGGAGGGGGCATTTGGATGGATGTAGCTGGAGGTTCGCCTGGGGATGTGGCGCTGGATGTGGCTTAGTTTTCCGTATTTCAAATATGGAGTCAGCTGTTTTTAGTGCACCAGCCACAGACATAGATAATCCCTGGGCACCAGGCAGGGCAAGTGTGGATGAGACGTTAAAGCAAACCCAGGACAAAACTCCCTACACCTCTTCTTCTCTAATGAATACCTCGGCTGCTGCTAACATTGCACCTTCTCTTTTGTTACCAGCTACGCTGCAGAGTCCAGGACTGGCAGATCAGCGTTTTAGCATGCCCAGTCTTCCACCCATCTGTCCATCACCCCTCTTTCTGCTGCCTGCTGTCCAAGTACCAGACAATGACCAGTAACTAACCAGGCCTTTCTCCTCGGTGTTTAGGGTTTCTGTAGTACAGGTTGCTGTATGGGATGAGGCATTGTGTTATAATCACACACACACACACACACGGGATTCAGGTTGGAGAGCAATAAATGGGTTCTGTCTTGTGAACTTCTCCTCAATGCCCATCTTCTCTGCTCAGCCACAGGGAGACCCCCTACACCGGGGGCTGCACAATCTAGTGTTCCAAAGCCTTCGTGAGCTAGATGGCACCAGCCACCCCAGTGCTTCACCCTCAGTCCCTGGTTAGAAGTTCCTAGCCTTTCCCTAGCTCTTTCTTTACACAGCTATCAAAGTACTGCCATGCTAAATATTTGGTTTTTAGAATATGGTGTGAAGGCCAGTTCAGTCTAGGCAAAATCAAATATCAGATCAGCCTGTGTCCTCGAGGCCTGCAGTCTGTCCCCTCCCCTGAAGAGTTTCTATATTAAACACAAAAAACCCACATTTCAGCATGTTACTCTCTTCACAGCAGAACGCTTCCTTGTGCTGACTCAGGCACTTTCCTGTATCCCAGGGAATGGAGAGGGAACTGGTTTTGTCTCAATGTAAGGGCAATCTAGAAGCAGGTTGCTATATTTATTTAACTATCTGTAGTCACTTCTGCCCTTTTTCAGTTTAAATTACTTGGGATACCAGCACAGATGATGAAACGCTCTCTCCGTGGAGTGGTGCTAGGAACTCCGCAGGGATCTCTGCTTGCTTGAAGGTAGCACTGTCTTCAAAGTGTAATGGCAAATTAGCGCCGTTTTCTCTGGTGGGATATGGAGGCAGGAAAGTGCACTGTAAATACAAATGGTTTTCATTGCCACTTTAGCATCGCTGGAAGCCTGATCTCCAGCTCTGTCTAGGTTGTTATAGGATTATCTGCTGAGGTCCCCATCAGTGCACTGGGGATATCAGTCCTCACTGAACAGGTGAAAACGATTGTACATGGTAGATTTCTGGCACTTGTCTTGTGACCTTTGCAACAGGGTGGCCTGCCCTCTAAGGGCTGGAGGGTCTGGGGACCTGAGTCCTGAAAGAGGCACAGCTGAGAGGGATCAGGTGATCCCCCTTTAGAGGGCAGCTGGAAGCTGCAATGAGGGGTGGGGAGCAGAGGGGAGAAGGGAAAGGCAAGGCCAAGCCAAGCCTACTAGGAGTGAGCAGACTCCAGCAGAGACCTGGGTCTAGGACAATTAAGACTCAAGCTAGGAAGGGCTAGGAGTCGCCTGGTGAGGTAGGAGAGACCCTAAGCAAGCAGGGGAGAGACTGCAGAGCTCTCCAGGCAGCAAGCCCTGGGAGCAGGAAGAGCTAAGCAACGTTGGTTTGTTGGACTTTAACTTGGGACTTGGAGTTTATTTTCGGTGAATAAACCCAGGCCCTAAGGAGGGGGCATTCTGACCACTGAAAAAGCATGTGGAGTCTGTGAAAGGGCGTTCAGGAGGCAGCTGACCCTGTTACAGCGTTTCCCTTACATTACTGTCCCTGTTCGCTGCATTTCTACATTCCAGCTACACTGCTAATGGGCTGTTTTCATTGTGTTCAGCGCATGTAACTTCTCATGCCTAGTTCAAAGACTCTGTAATAGCAAAACTAATGCTCAAACTTCAGAAGCAAGAAGTTCAAAGGCCTTAAAATCATGGATTATTATAAATAATGGTTAAATTCCAGAGAGGTTGTACTCACCTATGCTAATAACCCTGAACTGGCCCTACATTTCAGATTTCACATCAAAGAGTCCCTTTGTTCCTTTTCACTCTGGTCCTAGATTATTTCCTGGAAACTCAAGGGCAGGAGATAAAGTGAGATGTAAAAATAACTATTGTGCTTTTATTTTAAATGCCATTAATCTTAATTTGAATGAAATGTTCAGGGTAATTTAGGGCTTCAAGCCACTTGTCACAGACAGAGGCTGTTTTGTGAAATATCGTTAAATGCCTGGGCAGCTCAGACCACTGGGGAGGTCAAAAGAACCTCTCCCTCCCCCGGTGCATTTGGCCTGGCTGTGCAATGCTGGGGAAATGCCTTTGTGGGCCCTGGAACGACCAGTTTACCCCCAGTCCATTGATCTTACCATAGTTTCAGTGTCAGTGAAGGCAAATTAAAGCCCTTCTAGGCAAATGCAGCTCAGAAACAATACCAGGTGACTCGGCGCTCTGCTAGTGAGTTAGTGTGTGCAACCCAAAAATGTTTGCTGTCGGATTTAGAATAATGCAAATGCAGGGAACTACATTTGGATCTGGGATATTCTGTGAGCAGAAAGAGGCACTGAATGTATTAGAGAAGTTGTTATTCACCCCTGTCTAGTCGAATGGTAATAAAATCCCATGCCCCATTGCCTAATTCATCCAGGCTGTTTTCCTCTGACTGACCTCCAGTGGTCATAGATTGCATGTGTTGATTATAAGTTGCATAAAGTGAAATTTCCTTGTATTTGTTTGGAATTTACTGTCCTTGAAATGTCAAGGAATCACTGTTGTGATGGATCTGAATATATTTAACCCTTATACAAAAAAATCAATATCTGGGCAAAATCTGCATTACACTATTGAAAGCTTCGGTGGCTCTAATTTACCCCAGATACTGGGAAGCTGCAGGAACAGGGTGCTGCAAAAGGCACTTCTGCCCCCTCCCCTCAGCTATCGCTGTGATACAAGTCCTGTGCTTGGCGTGGTGAACTTCAGCGATAACTTTGCACGGCTGATTTCACACCATTTTTCATACACTTTAATCCTGATTATAAAAATGAACCTGGAAGTAGCTTTACACCCATCCATGCTCACCTCTGTCCGTCACGACTCAGTTTAGCCTGATGCAGTATGGCGGGGGAGGAGGTTTTGTGTACTAAAATCCTTGATGCTTTACAAGATCCTGTCTGTTTTCTACAGCAGTGCAGATCTGACTGTGCCCTGGGCTTTGTCTGACAGATCCCTTCTTTACTGACGCTCACCTCTGTCTGAAATTGTAAAGAGCTCACTTGAGTTCTATGCCCCTCTAGTTCCACTAATGGTCAGAAGAGGAAGCAGGACTTTTGTGGACCCAGATGGGCCTCTGGCTGGCTCTTAGCGCAGGGGTGGCTTTCACCCTTCGAGGATTCATGCTCATAAACCCAGGCTTTTCCAATGATCAGTGATATTGTGGGTGCAGTGCAATCAAACATGACTGCAGCTGACATGGCGGGAGCCGGAAAGCACAAGAAAAATCTCTGTAAATAGCTCAGTGAAACCATGAGATGACTGAGTCAGTCTATCATTATCCTTGAGACCAGTGTTTGAAGCTGCACTTTTATAATGGCTAAGCAGCGTGTAGGTACTTGAGGGCCACACAGGAAGCGCAGGCGCTTTCATATCTGATGTGGCTGATGTTTGCAGCTGTGAAGGAGTCAGTCACATTTCGAACACGTTCCCCTAATCTAACAATAGAAAAGATCTCATTTGTACTGTGTTTTTTAACCTTAAGTTTGGAGGATTTGGACTCCAAATGTGCTTGTGAGATAGGAGTGGGTTTTGCATTACATTTCTTAAGTAAAGCGTATTAAGTACCTTCCCTAGCAATCACTGCTTTCGTGGGAAGTGTTTCTGTTTGATTTTACTTTATGCTCCATTTTATGTAGCTGTTCTGCCACAGACAATTTTACCCTGAGGACTACAGCAGAATCAGATAAATTGTCTGAAATAGAGATTTATTTATGACCAATCTCCACAGCTAAACTCTGGGGATGTAGCTTTGACTAATCTTTTCTGTCTTTTTCTTTGCCTAACTTTTGCCAGAAGCTGGGACTGGGGGACAGGGGATGGATCACTTGGTGCTTGCCTGTTCTGTTCATTCCCTCTGGGGCACCTGGCATTGGCCACTGCGGCCATTGATCTGACCCAGTCTGGCTGTTCTAATGTTCTTAGCACAAGAGTGTATTGGCTGCATTGTCTAAACCAAACAGTAGTTTTATGTGATTAGAAGGTAGGAGATCAGCTTGATTAGGCGTCTGGCCTCCATTGGGCATGCAGTACAGTACATGCATGACAATAGCAAGGAACAACAGCACAATCAATCTCTTCCAAGTAAACCTATTCGCTGATGCGGATTGTAAAATTGTAGCAGTTCACAGAGACGGAGCTACAGCAGTACACTCGTCATGAGCAAATGAACCTTTCGAACCACTGACTTTTAGCAAAACAGACTCAAAGAGAAGCACTGAATTGAGCTGTGAGATAAGGCTCTCCGGGCTTGGCAAAAATCTCAGTGTCAGTCAATCAGTGCAGGGTCCTTATTGCTCTGCCATGATCAGAATGTTTGTGAGTGCGGCGGGGTGCTCAGGCAGCCGCCGGTCTCTCCGGGGGTTGATTTACTGCAGTTAGGTACAGTGCATAATTTCATGCCCAGAATTTTCAATGCATCTCTTTTCCCTCCCTCTCTTGCAGACATTAACTCAGAGGGGAAGAATGCCCCTTCAAGTTCCTACCCACTCGGCTCTGACGAACTCCCAAACAACATGACTGGCAAAGAGAAGGGAGAGCCCCCCCACACCACAGCTCACAACCTTCTTCAGTCAGGAGAAGACTTCTTCGATTCTGTGACTGAGAAGATGACTCCATTGCCTCACAGAGATGTTCTACAAGAGCCAGCTTCTGCCCCTGAAGCCCAGACAAAACAAACTTTCCCTTCCAAGAAGAAGCCACCTTCTCTAAAGCCAGTAAACATCGCAAGGAAGCATCTGAGACCCCAAACTACCCCAGCAATGCTTCAGAGAGCTGCCTCTCAGCCAAACCTGTCACACCCCAGGTCCTTCACCTCTGCTGAAGAGCCTCATGCGCTGGGGAATGGGATTACTATGGCTACTGAAGCCAAGCAAGCAACCCCAGAGCTGCCACTGTGGGGTGACAGGAGAGGAAGCAGTGGCACAACCAGCCAGTCTCCACTGCAGATTTCTCCTTTTATGTTACGACCTTTAATCCGCCAGCCCACCTCCCAAAGCCCAGAGACAGTAAAGCAGTCGGTGCCTGATGCGGCTGCTGTAGAAGGCGATACAATCGGCCCCAGTGCTAACAAGACAAGCAGTGCAGAGAACGAGATGAATGGATCTGCTTCCGAAGAAAGTCAAGAAACAACCACTTCCACCATCATCACGACCACAGTCATCACCACCGAGCACACGCCAGGTAAGCCCCCCTCTCTGCACGGCCACAGCCCCACAAACCCCGAGCCGCAGGAGGAGGAGGAGGGTGGAGGCGCCAGGCTGTGAAGTGAGAGAGGACACGCTTCCTGTGTCTGCAAATGCAGCGTGCACTTTTGGAGCTGCCCAAGAGCTTGCACGTTTCATTGGTGTCAAAAATCTGCACCAGTGCAATGGCGTGGCCACGTTCAGGAGACAGCTGCACTTGGCTCTCGTACGAAAGGCAGCCTGGCGCATAATGCAGGAGATGGCGTGGGAGCCAGCTAGCAACGCAATGGCATAGGGTATGTCTACACTACAGGATTAATCCGAATTTAGATAATTCGAATTTGGGAAACAGGTTGTATAAATTCGATTGTGCGCGGCCACACTAAGCACCTTAATTCGGTTTTAAACCACATTAATTCGGTGGTGTGCGGCCACACTACCCCATTAACTTAAACACAGTAATTCGGTGGTGTGCGTCCACACTAACCCTAATTCGAATTAACAAAATCGATTTAGGCTCTACTCCGTTCGTCGAGGTGGAGTACAGAAATCGATTTAAAGGGCCCTTTAATTCGAATTAACTGGCTCTGTAGTGTGGACGGGTGAAGGGTTAATTCAGATTAAGGCAGCTAAATCCGAATTAAAGTCCTAGTGTAGACCAGGCCATAGACACCGAGATTGTAACCCAAAGTCAAGTCTTTAAGGTATCCTTGGGGATCAGGAAGGCTGTTCTAGTGGAACCAGCAGAACTTAGTGAATGTGGAGCAGGAAACGGAGGGTTTAGAATAACCCAGGCTAAAGCCAAGGAGGAAGTCTCTGCTCGCAAGGAAGTGCCTGGCATGTGCCACCTTCATCCGCTGAGCGAGCAGAGTTGCTCCAGCTCACGGGGGTTAGCTCTCGTCTCTGCTGTGTGAGGGGCCCAGGAGCCGGAGGCCATGGGCTGCCAGCAGGGATGCACATGGTGATATCAGGGGTAGTCCACGGCCGGGGAAATAGGTTTCTTACATAAAACCAGGGATTTTTCCATCTGTCACGGGGGGCTCAACTCACCGCAGGGACGGCGCCGCCTCCTGTCACGGTGGGGAATTGCTCACCAGGTCGACGCCCTGGCCAGCAGCTACTCTCTGAGCCTGTGCCCCTCTCGCTCCAGGAACCGCAGCACCTTCTGTGTGACTCAGCCCTCCGGCCAGGTCCCTACGTACGTGGTTTCCCCTTCCGGGGACATGTATCAAAGTCCCTGCTCACCAGCCGTCTCTGTCAGTCCTCCCGTTCCCTGCCGCAGGGGCTGCTCCCTCAGTGGCTGGCAGGGGAACCCAGGCCTGTTCTCTACTCCGGGTTCCGGCTCGGGCCCTCTGAACAGCAGCCCAGGTGTGGTTCCCTCCTGCACCCTGCTGCCTTTCCCTGAGCCTCTTCCTCACCTCCGGGCCCTCCCCATGCCTCCGGGTTTGCCAGCCCGAGCCCTGGGCTACTTGTCCCTATGGCCCCCCAAGTGCACCTCCCTCCTCCTGGGAGTGCCTGCAGACTACCTCCCTGCAGCCCCTCTGCTGCCAACTTCCTGCCTTTATAGAAGTCCCGCCTGTCCCCACACAGGTGAGCTTTCCCCAATCAGGACTTTCCTCCCAGGCTTAATTCTCCCCTATTGCATCCTCACTGGCTGATCGGGCCCACTCGAGCTCTTGCAGGGCCAGTGTGGGCAGTGCAGCTATCACCCCATCAGCAGGGCTGTCTGGGGCCCATCCCCAGTTAACGGTCCCTGGCGCAAGTGAGAGTCGTGTTGTGTTGGGAGGCGGGAGGTGGTGCTTCATTGTGCACCTGTACCTAACCTTCCTCACACACCTCACTGCTGTTAGGATGTTACTCGCCTGCTGTCCTCCCTCAGGGCCAAGCTACTGTCAGTCAAATAACAACCAAACTTCCAGGTAGGCTATTAGAAAAAGCTAAGGTCTATGGGCCTGATCCAAAGTCCTTCACTGGGAGTCGTTCCATTGACTGCCAGGGGCTTTGGACCAGGTGTCTGAATGAGCCGTGCTATGCGGTGCATTTAAAAGGTGCAGGTGCTGTGCTCATTCCAGAAGTGTTCGGATGGTTGGCAAGGTCTATCTGTCAGGAAACACGGCGTTGTGGCCTGCAGTGAACCACCTTAGTCAGGGTCACTGTTTGTTCCTATGCAGAAATGAAACAGGAGTGACTGCCGGAATCTGACTCCAGAATAGACTTTGATACTGTCTCAGTCTCTGTTTCCCTGTCGTTGGTAAGTCGCCTGCAGAAGGGAACCTGCAGGGATGGTCGGAGCTTTTTTGGTCAGAGATCTCTTTTAAAAAAAGAAAAAGGGAAACAACATTTTTTCTTAGCTCTTTCCCCGTCCCAAACCCGAAGCGTGGAAGGGGAGCTGGGACTGCCCACAAGGCTTGTTCCTCAGCCAGTGGGAAGCTCCCCACCGTTCATTATTAATTCATGTGGCTTTGCCTCCAGTTATCTGCAGCGTGAGCTTCTACGACCCAGAAGGCTACATTGACTCGACCGACTATCCCCCGCTTCCTGTGCCCAACTTCCTGGAGTGCACCTATAACGTGACAGTCTACACGGGCTATGGAGTTGAGCTCCAGGTAAGAACACGGTGGCACTTCGGGGCTGCTGTTTCCTCAGTGAGTCAGTGCCTGAAGCTGCCATCATGTAATTAAAAAATGTTGTAGTTCTCGTCTTCCCATCTGTACCCATCGAATGAGCATCGCTCTCCTGACATGTGCAGAGAGCAGCCTGGGACAGAATGCCGGGCTGGTTGGTGCTGGACACAAAGCCCCCGACTGCAGCTATTCACCGCATACATGGGCACCTAGGGTGACATTTGTCCCTCCACAGTGGGCCAGCATTAGCTGCATGCACTCCATAGGCCCCGCTCCAGCCCCAGGGAATCCCCACCGGTCCCATCAGGCCGCTTTGATCACTGTAGACTAGGACAAAAGAAACAGCCTCAGCTCAAGTGTGTGACTCAGTGGCAGGCAAAGAGGGGGGGAGCAGGGGCAGAGATGCACAGTGGGAAATCACCCAGTTCCCCCTGCCTGAGGTAGCAGTGTTGGGTCAGCCTGGGGTCTGATACTGGAATCTCAGACTCACTGCGTCAGGAAACGCCCCTCTCTGCAGAAGGGTTTTTCTAGGATTCTACCCAGCAGCCACTGCGCTTGTTCTTTGGGGCAGCAAGGAGAGGATCGAACACACACACACGTACACAGCATGTCGGAAGGGCCACACTTGTAATAGAACATGTGTTCATTAACGTAGATCCTGGCGGGCGAGCAGGGGCATAGACACAGTGCTGAAATCCTACCCCTGAATGCAAGTGGCTTGTCAGAGCGAAGGAGCCCTCTGCCCATCCAACACCAGCCAGTCAGCCCCAGTTATGGTGATACTGTCACTAGCACATCTGCCATCCAAGGAGCTCAGAGTATTTAATACCTTGTCCTCCAGAGCACCCTGCAGCCAAGCTTCTCCATGCACTTTACAGCTACCAGCTCATTTACCGTCCCACCCTGCTGAGAACCAGCTCTGCCTCATTCCCAATTTACAGATGGGAAAACTGAGGCAAGGAGCAGTGAAGTGACTTGCCCAGAGTCACACAACAAGTCAGTGCCAGAGTCCCAGTACCCTAACCACGAACCCCACTCCCGGGTGAGCACACGCATCATAATGGTGTGAAGGTTTTACACGCCTCAGCCTGCAAGTAAGGCAAAGCTTTAGCAAAGACAAGGGCACTATGCAAGCCAGTGGCTGAGTGTGCCTGCACTGTCACGTACCCCAGTGTAAACGAAACATGCTCCCACTGAAGTCAATGGCCCTGATTCAGGACACGTTTACACTGGCTTTGCTTTTGTCAAAGTTTTCCCAGAAAATTAAAACTTTTTGGCAAAAAATCAAATCCAATTTTTTCCATCCAAAGCCTGATTTGGAATGCTGCCGCAGTGCCTGATGGGAGTTGTAGGTCAGGCACCTTGTGCCCCTGTTCTCATCTACATGGGAGTCCCACGGCTGTGGTGGAACCTGGCCAGGGAGCCCTGCCCATCGGGGACGTCAGGGGGAGGTACCACCCTGCAGTATTTCCAAATCAAAATGTTGGGGGTTTCGCCAAATCTTTTTGACTTTGGGGTTTGTTTGTTTTTTCATGAAAAGTCAAAATTTTCCCAGAAAAGTAAATACTTTTTGCAAAAAGTTTAGCTTAGTTGAAAAGTCCGTTTTCAGTCCAAGAAGAATTCTGATAGACAAATATCAACTAGCCCTAGTTTCTATCGGTCCTGCTTCGGGCAGTTTTCACTAACACTGGCCATTCCATGCATGTTTGTATGTCCATCAACTCCCCCCCTCCATATAGAGCCCCAGGCTCACTCCCTATGTGCCAGCTGGGCACTGGACCTACATTTCAAACTCATGTAAATTATCACCCTTGCATTCCAAAGAAGCCTCCGTGCCCTAGACAAACAGAAGCAGACTAGTAGGATAAACTCCTGCCTAACATGCAAGGTGAACGATATACACAACTCCAGCTGCAGCTACACATAACATTCATCAGGTGGTGGCTGTAGTTTACCATTTATTGACCACCAGTGCTGGCCAGCTGTATATGTCACTTCCCTACTGCTCACCTGCCATATGGTCATATAGATTATTTTGCCTGGTGCAGCTGCTACTACAAATGAGTCTGACATGGCAAAAACTCCAGATTCTTCCTAATCCATGTCACAAATAAACTATAGAAGGGAGCTGGTACAGTTTGATCCCCAGATAGATCAAAGCTTTAAAATACCATCCAATTAACTTTAACACAGGGACAATGGCAAGCAATTTATTCCCCAAACAGACATCCTGCCTTGATAGCTAGGAGAAAAATAAAAAGCATTCTCTCCAAATTGACTGATTGCTCCTCCTTTGTTCCCCAACTCTTAATGGGATAGGCTCTAAATGGAAGCGCCCACGTGTCAAGAGAACCCAACAGTTCTGCTATTCTTAGGTGCAGAGCTGACTCCCTAGGAATCCCCCTGTTATATCCATGACACAAATTCAGTACCAGGAAAATGCACTATTTCCAAGTAAGAACATGTGTGCGCCTCAGAGTGCAGCACACGCGTGGGGCCGCACCTTTTGTTCATGTGCAATACTGGCCCGTGTCTGATAGCGGTCACCAGAGGAAATCACATTCACCAACATGGACCATAATCCTCAGGCGCAGAAGAAATAAACATGCGGCCACACGTGACAAGAGAGTAATGGTAACGATGTGTAGTATACACCCAACGGCCCTGATCGGGATCCGGACGCCAGGGTGCTAGGTGCTGTACAAACACAGGAAAGAGACACGCCTACCCTGGCGGGTTTGCAGACCCCGGAGTCCGCAGACATATTAGCGTTATTATGATTTAATATTAACAGTCACAACCACCTCATTGTGCTCGATGCTGTACAAACATAGGAAAGGCCAGTGCCTGCCCCAAAGAATGCGGGTCATGTGACGGATGTGTCAGACCCACTGTTTGTGGAATTGCCACATGCCAAGGCCGGCATTCAGCACGGAGCTTAGGGACTACTCGGGTGATTTAAGTTAGGCATGCCCTTAAGTAGCTTGCTGGATCGGGGCCCCTGTCTGGCCAATTATGAACGTTCCTGCGGGCACAATTCAGGCGCTGGAGAAATATATTCAGCCCAGGGGCTCTGATTAGGGGCCGTCCCACTGGGGTCAGCTGCAGAACAGTCACTGACACGCCATGGAAACAGCTCTCACTCCTTGCTTAGTGTGTGCAGCTGAAATGAGCTGTTCCTGGGAAAACGGTGCTAATATTTCCCTGCGTTAGAAGCCATCCTGGAAGCCTGGCCAGGTCACTGATAAATAAGCCCCAGAAGGAGAAGAGCAGTCGCTACCTGGCCTTGAAACAGGAGTAAAACAACATCAGCGTAGTCTGTGCACTAGACTAGAGCTCTCCTTGGGACCTTTTTCTTCTTCAGTTTTCCCCATGTTACAATTTATTTCTTATTAAGCTACATCCACTTTTAATCTCTGTAATTAGCAATGTGCATTCAAAGGAACGGGCGAACTTGTTCCCACCGTCATGCGTGGCTGGACTGAAGGAGAGGGCTGACCTTGTTGCAGCCTGATGGAAAGGGTGTTCATGGAATTAAGTGTAGCACGGTCGTCAAGTGGAGCGAGCATTGGGGCAAACACTGAAACGCTTGCATTTTATGCATATTTTAAAAACTTTTCTCTAACAAGAACTCCGTCTCCTGAATCGAGAGGGTGCTAAAGACAAACTGCTCTGCTGTAAATTTGCCTCCCGTTGTAACCCATCCAGTGACATCATTCCTGACCTTGCTCCGTTGTAGGTCAGGGTTTTAATGGAGCATAAAATTAGCCTCTCCGCCTTCAGAACTCCCCTTTTCACTTTGCTGATGCGTCTGAGGCTCTTAGCCGTTATATTACAAAGCAGATCTGCCTTTGTTGAGCACAGCCTTGCCTGGCTCCGAGCACAGATCTGCTCTGCACGGGCAGCATTCGTTTCTCACCAAGCTGTGTACAGGACAGGAGTCATGGCTGCATGACACACAAGTACACCCAGATCTGCTAAGCCACTGGGGGTCTCTGAATGTAAAGCAAATCAGTCACTAGGTTTGAATGTACAAGCAGGTGGGCTAGGTAGCAGCAGGGGAATGTAGGGAGCCTCGCCGCCCCCCATACACACACCCCTCGCTAATTCTCACCACTATGCCCAGCCCAGGCCCGGGCACAATGATCTGATCACAGATGACGGGGGTACGTTTTAGTGGGGGGGCTGGGGGATGTATGGGGAGAGAATTTGTTTCACAGCCCCATACAACAATGTGAAAGCTGGCTGCCCTTGCTAAAATACTCAGCCCACTCTAAGCAACATCCTTAGAGCAAGAGGAACAGCCAGGCCTGAAGCGTCCAAGAGCGGGGAGTTATCCACCGTAATAGGCACATTTTGGAGAGCAGGACGGGGGGATGCTTGGAAAGAAAAGCTCTGGAAAGAAAGCATGTCTGAGCCTAGCACTTTGGATACATTGCTGGACAATGGTTAATCTCTGATAGAATATAACCTCTGCAGAGCAATACATGGAAATAGGGCAACATTTGGAGTAATCTGTGCAAAGCCGCCAAGGGACAGCTCTAACTTTGGACTTTTGAAGCCAAGAATATAACTTACTGTTTCGGGCTAGCAGCCCCTCTTTCCCGGTTTTCCCCTCACCTAGGTGAGCAGTGCTCACGTCCCTTCACATGTGCGGCTTATGAAGGGAATCCAAATATTCCTGCCTGAGATCAGTTCCATGCTGGCCCGGTCTCAGGGTGAGGCTGTGGGGTAGCCAGAGAGTGGAGCTGTCCCTGCTGCTACGGATGGGAAAGTCCCATTGCTAGGCTGGGCCGCAGGAACACATACAGCTGTTGAATGGACTCAGCTAACCCTGTTCTGTTGCCTGGCTGAGGGCTGGCGAACAGGGCCCTGAGCAGGTACTGATGGTGAGGCAGGAAAGGGAGCCAGGGGGCCCATTTTTCCATATTACGGTGCAGGACACTGCAGTACAAGTGTCCCAAGTACAGGCAGGCTGGAAC